GATCAACCAGCGTTCCAGGCGACTGGTTGATCAGAGAGCTGATTGGATCGATAAGTTTCTCTGGTTCCTCTCTGGCAGTCGCCTAGTTACCACTCAAAGCGGTGCATCCTGGGAAACGGCAGAGGGTCAATTCTCCAGTAAAAAACTAAATATAGGACTGATTTACAGCAGAATATAGTAAAGTATTCCATGTCTAGTGAAGGGGAGGAACAGTGGCGGATCTAGACCAGATGTACCAGGGGGCCAGGAGGGGGCCAGCGTGTTTTCATGGGGGCCCAGAAAAGCATGAAATAAAAAACAGGGCAAGAGATTCAGATATATTAAGAGAGCTGCATGAAGGGAAATTTATTTTCAGTTTGGTTCAATTAAAATTCTATTTCTTATGAGGTCAATATACATTTATAATTTAGGAATTTTACATATTTTTGACTTAATTTAAGTTAAAACTACTGTTTTCTATCAAATTTAGATTAGAATTGAAGAATAACTGTTAAATTCATCTGTAAAAAGTAGAGCATTTTTTAAATTTGTTGTGGAAAAAAGTATCATTTATCAGATGAAAACTGGGATCCTCTCTCAGTAGCACTGAAGCTATCACCTTATTGTTTTAGAATAATTAGTAAAGCAGAATTTGTAAAGAAAAAGAATTAAGTAGATCTTAAGGACCCATCAGTAACCATGTCTGTTCCAGCGCAGATCATCATTCAATTAGTATCATGTCTTCAGTGCAGGGGCCATAACAGGGACCATAACATGATCTACAGGGGCACTGGCCCTCGTCTAGGACTGGCCATGGTGAGGAATGATGTCACAGTGGCGAGGTGCACTGTATGCTGAAGTCCATGAAAAACAGAAAGCACAACCGATGTTCAAGGCTACAAGATTGAAAGTATAGAAAATAAAAGATCAATATTGATCTGTTTAAGGAATGACTGTTTAGAGTGTTTATAGTTTAGTAAACACAGGTGGTGCTAAACATAAACTTCATGCTAGCGCTAGTGGCTAATGAGGATTGTTTCTAGCCTACACTGAGTGCATCTCCTCTCTGACAGCATTATGTCATTGGCATCATTTTTTACACAATGAGCTCAGTAGTCCAATGTTAGCCTACATGTTACTCTCTCTCTGAGCAACTTACAATAACTTCTTAAGATGATAAAACCTGATAATATGTGTGATTGACTGTGATCTCTTTCTCTCTCTCTCTCTCTCTCTCTCTCATTATTTCTAACCTTTTTAAAGTGTTGACTCTATTTTCTATTCATTTCACAACGTATGGTGGTGAATAAGTGTGACTTTTTAGGAAATCACTAATTTGTTTGGGTGACCCCAAACTTTTTAACGGTAGTGTATGTATAAAAAATATATCTGCAAAATCTCTAATATTCAACAACAAAAAATTCTTAGTTAAGCATATTGTGCAAAACAGCAATAAAAATTAAACTCCTATCAGATTTATAGTCCCCACCCTGCAGATATATTAGAATCTGTCCTTAAATTCCAGCCAAACCCATTTACTCAGTAACAGATTAAAACCTTTAGATAAACCAAACATTACCGCCACATATCTGACTCAATAACCTTAAAACAACTAACATTAAAACAACTATTTTTAATTCATCTCAGACGGAATTAATCACTGTCTGGATTATATTAAACTGAACTTCCAATATT